GGAGGAGGCCGGCTCGGCCGCTCGGCGACGCGGGCATCGTGGGCCCTTGCATGGGAAGGACTGCTAGAGGTACAAGATCACTACGTAGCATTGTGGGCCCTTGCATGGGAAGGACTGCTAGAGGTACAAGATCACTACGTAGGGTGGTTTGTGCAAAATTTTATCCTAGTCAGCACCTCTCGAAGGGGTATGAACATGCGGTGTACGACTCAACAAGTTCAGAGGGGCAGATTTCGGTTTTGAAGAGTTCGTGGATCTAGATGGCACAGGGCCACAAGTTTAAGAGCCGATCAGCATATAACCATAAAAAATCACATAAATTTAAAACCCATCACTAAATTAAACCACATATAAATTAAGAAAAAGCCCATCGCTTCAGTTATAGCCGAATCCTTCCTTGTCAGTTCTAACCGAAACCACCCTAGGCTACTAATTGGGTTAATTGGAACATCAATTAGGTTGTACAAGTGACTAATTTTAACTAACAGAGCCACAATTGCCCCAACTGATGAATGATTAGCACTAACATAGGTCAATTAAATCTTAAAAGAACATTAGGGATCATGAATTAGCTAGGCTAATCTTGCTCTGGTTCCCAAATGTTAAACTTAATGCTTAATTAAGATCGTGATTATGTTAGTCTAAGACATGAACACCTAATGTGATATTAGCCCATAATTGGAGTTGCCGGGGATGATGACGATGTCCTTGTGGGTGCTGCTGATGACCTCGAGCTTGCTCGATGCAGTAGGCTTGTGCCAGTGTAAGAGAGGATATGATGGATGCTGCCATGCTGGGTGCTGGCACTCGATGGATAGGAGTTAGAGATTTGGTTAAGACTTATTAACTAACTTCTCAGGAGGCCTCTCTGTTATCATTTTCGATCATGCGAGCATGGGATCCTAGTGTTGCATTTGGCAGCGCAAAGAGAGCGAACAGGCTTCTTTACTCTGAATCTCCTGACCGTAGTCGGAGTGTGATACGACTTGCAGTCCGACGCCGCCTCGAACATGGACCAGTGGTGTCTCCGGCTTCTATGTGCCTATATAATCTGCTAGCACTCTAGCAGCCAGACTCGCCCGCTGAAATAATCGCGATCTGAGAAAAAGAAAGAGCATCCCCGCCCGAACACAAGAGATCATATTCGGCCGGTCACAGACAAGACAATATGTCGCCGCCGCCGCGGCAGCAGGAACAACATCATCTCTACTTGGTGCTGGACGATGAATTGGAGGATGGTTAGACCACATGTGTTTGGTTGCATTGGATGGGATGGTACCATCGATGAGGTGTGTTTGGTTGGTGGATCACTGGATAAGGAAATCATGGATAGGAAATATTTCACTCAGATACTGAATTTCGTGATCCGAAAAAATCGGATCAGCTTATCCATGTCTTATAATCCTTGTCATTAGTAAATAAATTAAGAATTATTAGTATGTTATTTTAATACTAAATAATTATGATGGTATGATTAGTTTTGATACGTGCTAATATGTTGATTAGTGCATGTTTCGTATGCTAATTAGGATATTTAGTGGTGCTAATTAATATATATTTTAAATTAGTGATTATCATGACAAAAATAGTATTAGTGCATATTTATTAGTGTCTAATTAGTTGTTATCATTTTTAAATAATAGATATAGTTAATCAATTATTCTCATCCAATCCACTTTTGTTCACCCAACTAATCAGAAAAATAGTTTATACCATCCATCCAACCAAACATGCATTATGGATATCCCTATACCCAATATCCGTGGATTGTCTCCTCGAACCAAACGCACCCAAAATCGACGTAGGCGACTTGGATCCCGACAACACCGGCGATCTCGACTCACGCGCACAGGCACTGCCGGACCCTCCGCTGCTCCACGTGGACACCGACCACGGAAGCGAGTCCCGGTAGCGTCCCTGAAGCCCCATAAATTTTTAATCATAGTTTTATCGTGTAGATGGGGCTGAGACTCGAATAACACTCGAATATACGTTGCTGTCTGCTGCTACGCGGTTCTTATCCGTGGACAGCGAACGCGGAATCGACCTACCTTTCCGCGGGGGTGGGGAACGAACAGGAGGCAAGAACGCCGGGGCCACCTTCTCCTTCAACGTCGAAGCGCTCACGTGGACTTTCCGAGGCTACTGGACCCTGCCCATCTTCGGGCAGGCCCGTTACGACGTGGAGCTGGACGCCTGGGTCGGGTTCCACGACGACAAGGGGCGCGTCTGCTGCTGCGACGTCCCGCTGCCCGCCGCCGCCGCGGAAGATCGCGAGCGGCAGGCTCTTCCGCGCCAAGGGCAGGCGGCACAGGGGAGGCGCGCTCGTGTACATGGGCAACAGCACCTTCTGCGTCGTCGAGCGCGTCATGGCGCAGGAGCTTACCAGGGAGCAGCTGAGGAGGCTGGACGGGCCACCGCGCCTGCTGCTCTACGTGCGGACGTTTGGCCTCAAGTACAACAAGAAGGGGCGGCTGCGGGTGGCCACGTGCGGCCGCCGGGCTTGCTGCTATGCATTGCCCCAAGCATCAAGCTGTGAACCAATTTTCATGTCGCTTCGGGAGTTATGGGTATAATAAATTAATTAATAAATAAATACTCCGTAGATCAATTTTTTTTGTTGCTTCAGAAAAAAGGTAGCTCAACTATGTTTTTAGAAAAAAATATGGGAGTTGCTCATATGCTACTCCCTTCCTTCGTACTGAAATTTTCAAGAATGCAATTTTATAATAGTGCTATGTTAAAGTATGTTACAAATTTGATCAATATATAAAAAACACTAATATTTATTGTACTAAACAGTACAATTAGAATTGTTACGAAACATACTTTTTATAATATTTCAATTTGAAGCCAAACATGTTGGGTATTATTTTCTATAAAATTAGCAAATTTAAGATATTTTGATTTTGACCATCTAGAAGAAGATTCTTAGCCACACCAAAAGAGATAGTAAATGTGCTTTCTTTATCGAAATACTATCCTGCGTATAAAAAACGTTATCATTTTCGTGGGCGTAGAAACGCTGCCGGATTTAGAGTTAAACAGAAGACTATCTTTTCTTTATTAAAAAAATAGAAGTCTATCTGAAATATATCATTTTCGTGGACATAGAAACGCTACTAAGGGCTTGTTTGGTTTTTTGACCCTGAAGTGCCGAGTCAAACTTTGGACTTGCCCCGATAATTTGGCCTGCACTTGGATCGGAGCCAAAATTTGGCAAGGCCAATGAGATTTTGGCCGGTCAATCTACAGCTAACAGGGAAGTAGACGTAGGGCCTCTTTGGCATGGCTTATGTCGGCTTTGGCTTCATCTATTTTACGCAAATCGAGACACTGTAGCGCGAAGCCGTTTTGTAAGTCGGGGTTAAAATGAACTAGAAGCCGGAAAAAACCAGTTTTTCTGGCTTCACCGGCTTTGGTTTCACCGGTGAAGCCGTTTTGGATGAGCTGTAGCAAAGGAGGTTGTAGTGCAACTGCGAATGAATGCGTGCGGCTGAGAGGACAGGCGGATGGATAAGGTGCTGGTGACAAGGTGGGCTCTGCTTTGATGGGCCTTTTCTGTTTTTATGGCCTTTCTATCTATCTAGACCATATGTCTCTAATTTCTTATCTTTTTCTAAGATAATAATATATAAACGTGTAAAACGCCTTGCAAACGCCTAAACGCATCTAGGCTCACTTAAGCTCTATGCGGAGGGTGATCGATTAGTTAGCGCCTAAGAGCATCTCCAAGAGTTGCTAAACTAATAGATTTAGCAAGCTAACAAAAGAAAATAAAACCTTAATTTTTGTCCTTCTCTAACAGTCTTCTATAATGACCTTCTAAACAATTTCATATTGGGAACCCCAAACTATTGCCAAACCTTTTTTATTAGTTTCTTTGTCTCTTACCGCATTCTCATGTAGAACCCTTTATTTTTTAATTTACTCATGCCTCTAATTTACTAAGTAGAAAAATGACAGATGGAGAGTGGATATAAAGTTTATCTCGGTCGTGGAAACTTATGAGTTGGAGAGAATATTTGACATTTTTATTTTTTAATTAAAAATCTTTTACCAAACTATTGGAGAACACTTTTTCTCTTTTTATATAAAAAATTAAAATAGAGAGTTGTTTTATGAAACACCTAGAGATGCTCAGCCTTGGATTTGACAATGACCAAAATTTGGCTTTGGCCAGCTAACGGCAGAGCCTCGGTAGCTTCGTTGAAAAACGAACTGAAAAGTACCGGTTGATTCGGTGCGAGGGAAAAAAAGTTCGGTCGCGTCCAGCTCTGCCTCAGGCCGAAAAGAACCGGTCCCAGTCTGTAGGGTTTCGCCTGCGGCACTGGTACTCCTGCTCCGCTCCCCCACGCGTGCTCTCTCTCTCTCTCTCTCTCTCTCGTGGCGACGACTGGGCGGCCGCCGCCGCCGCCCTACGCCACCATCAGGTCTTCGCCGGCGACAAACACCACCGCCAGGCGCGTCCACCCCTTCTCATCCGTTCCTGTTTTGCGAAACCGAGCATCCATACCCTAACTTCTATATATATTCGGATATTCGGATCTGATCTAATTCCAAGTGGATACATGTGTTATGCCAACTAAATTTCGACTTTTTTTTGTGGCAAAAATGGTCGGCTGTACATGTGTAAACCCATGTCCTTTTACTGCGACCGCCCCTACTTGATTTCAAACTGTGGGTTTGGAACAAGCATGTGGTTGAATGGTTGCATTGTAATGTACTTTGATGATTGAAAATGGAACTATGCTGCAAAGTCAGTTCTTTGCTAATATATCTAGAGAAGGGCATACTATATTTACTGTAGGGTTCATATCTGTGTGTCATATTCATCTTAATCAGCACTTCTTTTCTCAATGTGCTACTTCCATGCTAGGAGCTCTGACTTATTGTCTTCTATGAATATAACACAGCCACAAAAGCTTCAGTTGTGACAGTGCTGGTACCATTCTGCCAACAAGTTCCTTTGCCACAAAAAGATAACACTCACATCTCTCATGGCAAAGCCTGGAATTTTAGGCCGCAGGTATGTTCATTGCTTAGAGTTTATGTATTGCTCTTCTGTCTAGCAACAAGAGAATGTTTTTTAGGTTCCCATTCATACAAATCACCATTCGATCTCAATCTTCAGCAGCGCACAGAAATCAAACGAGGGCATGCGAATCATATTCTCAGCAGTTGTTGGTGTTATGCTAGGGTACTTGTTTGGCATTTCCTTCCCCACAGTTAATATAACAAAGGTAAAATGGATCATTTCCTTCTCTTGCCTTCTTCTGCAACATGATCTGCGTAGAGGGAAAAAATCTTGACGGCTGCATTTTGCAGCTTCACTTCCCTTCTAGCATTATCTCCTATATTGAGGACAGAAACTCTGGCATCACAACCCAAACATTATTGAATCATGCATGGACATCTGCAGCTACTCATAAGAAGAACAATTCAGCTTCTAATTCTGATGAAATTCCTAAGGTACCTTGCCTGGCTTAATGACTTGTAGTTCCAGTGGTCTATGCACTGGCACTAGTTTTGTGAGTTATGTCCTGCTTTTGCTATTGTTTCTATGTATATATATTGTGGTCAGTGTCTTCTGGACCTGTAGTTTTACTTGTGTATTTCTGATGCATGGTGTGTGAGTATGAAGTTATAGAATTCACATGAATGCTTTAAACCTAGGAATTATGCCTACATTGTCCTTCACTTGTTAGCGCGGTTCAATTTATACCCTTTATGAAGTATATGAAATAATGAACCGAAGGGGTGGTTTCTTATATATGAAAACTGCATTTACATTTCTGTACCTTTTATTTTTTCTGTTTAATTATCACAATAATTTCAGATTTATGTTCCAACAAACCCTAAAGGTGCTGAAAGGCTTCCACCAGGCATTGTAGTGTCTGAAACAGACCTTTATCTCCGGAGATTGTGGGGTGAACCTAGTGAGGTTGGTTTCTATAGTTGATACTTTTTACAGTATTATATCAAATGATGCCCTCAAACGGAGTTGTTTATTTTGTTGTTCAATATCTGAAATATAGTATACCACCAGGATCTTACTAGCAAACCAAGATACCTTGTTACATTTACAGTTGGATACTCTCAAAAGGCAAACATTGATGCAGCAGTGAGAAAGGTAAGACATCTAACATGCTTAAAATGTGTGAGGAATGAATACTACAACTGATGCTGTTCAATTGATAATGCATCCTCATGAAGTAGTCAGTAGTCACTGTGTTCAAATATGAAAAGATTGTAATTTTTTCAGATTTATGTCTTCTCTACAGTTTTCAGAAAACTTCACAATTATGTTGTTCCATTATGATGATTGGATAACTGAGTGGGATGAATTTGAGTGGTCAAAAAGGGCCATCCATGTGAGTGTCAGAAAGCAGACTAAATGGTGAGTTGTGCTTTTATGTGTTTGCCACACATTTGGCCATCAAAGGTTAAAAACTTACTTCTCGTTTACCCAAGGTGGTATGCCAAGCGATTTCTACATCCTGACATTGTTGCCTGTTATGACTACATATTTATCTGGGATGAAGATCTTGGTGTTGAACACTTTAATGCAGAGGCGTAAGCAGCAGCTCATCCTTGTTGGTTTTTTTAATGGTGTTCCCTTGGGAAAGTTAATCTCAAAGCATTTTCTTCAGGTACATTGGGCTTGTTAGGAAGCATGGGCTTGAGATCTCTCAGCCTGGTTTGGAGCCTGATAAAGGTCTGACATGGCAAATGACTAAAAGAAGAGGTGATCAGGAAGTCCACAAGTGAGACATCCCTATATTGCTTTTCTAATGTTTAGTACTGAGACATCCCTATATTGGTTTCTGGAGTGATATTTCGCTTTTTCAGAGTAACTGAGGAGAGGCCTGGCTGGTGTAGCGACCCCCATCTGCCACCATGTGCAGCGTAGGAGTGCAATCATTTATTAGATTATTTGCTTGTTGAAATTTCTGTTTTTCACATCTAATTTGATATGCAGATTTGTTGAAATTATGGCAACTGTGTTCTCAAGGGATGCATGGCGCTGTGTATGGCATATGATTCAGGTGGAGTGGTGTTACCTTCTGTTCTCTTAGCTTCATTTGAAGTATGTATTCTTATAAATTGTTTTCTGCAGAACGACTTGGTCCATGGATGGGGTCTTGATTTTGCTCTTAGGAAATGCGTGGAGGTATATTGATTATCGATATTACTCTGATGAATTGAATTCTACATGAATACTATCTTGCATAGTTGTAGGATACCTTGGATTGCTTGTTGCGTAGAATGAATATTTTTTTACTTTAGTTCCTTTGGGGATCATGGAGTGGCCAGGCGTGATATATCATTGGGGGTCGTTAGGAAAGGGTGGGAGTTAAGTTGGGTAGACAGGTAGTAGAGATAAGAGGATGTGTGGTAAGGTATAGTGGATAAATAGAAGCTGGTTTCAATTTCAGATGTGGTGGGACTCGTGGAGAGAGAATTTCATTGCCACATTCTTGGCTAATGCACATATACTGATATACCATTATACCAAGCATTTTAATACCATCCACAACCTGAGTTTCCCCCTCTTTACATGCTATCCACAACCAGTCATGTTTTACTGATCGAGGATTCTCTTATTTGATCTTATGTTAAACAGCCAGCCCATGAGAAAATTGGAGTCGTTGATTCCCAGTGGATTGTTCATCAAGTCGTCCCATCGCTTGGTAACCAGGTATGCCAGACTATTAATATCACCTCATTTTGTGCATGGTCCTGTAGCATCGGTGAATTCTGATCCTGTAGCATCCATTCCTGTCAGGGCAAGGCAGAGAATGGAAAAGCGCCATGGGAAGGGGTAAGCTAACTAACAATTACTAATTTTACATATTTTGCACTTCTCGTACTGTTTGCCGTGGGAACGCATAAAGGATTTTATCTCTGTTTTGTCTGTTCCAGGTTAGAGCACGCTGTCGTAAAGAATGGGGGATATTTCAAACAAGGTTGACAGATGCTGAGAAAGCATATTACTTGGCGCATGGGATCACACCACCAAAATCGACAGTAGCTTAGATGCATGCCTGCATACAGGCACCTCGCGAGTCATATGGCAAGGTTTGTGCTTCGTGAACCTGGCGCCTGCCTGTCCGATAAGTAACTGACTCTGTAGGGATGCAGCACCAAGGCCAGATTTGTACAGGATCAATCTCCTTTCTACTCTTCTTAGTCTTTCACTTGGTTTTTTTCTCTGTACGAGAGTAGCTCTTATGTAAGTAGCCTAGCACGATTTCGGAGATACTCTTTTTTGTCTTATTGGCCAAATGCAGTATCGATACTGTCATTTCTTTTCCTTGTTTTAACATACAAATGATTGCGTTGGAACAGCTCTTGTGCGTTCAGTACCTTATTTTCATTGCTTAGCCAGATATGTTTGTCCTGCCAAGGCAAGCCATGTTTGATTGTTTAAATTGTGTTGTATGTAGTCATCTCTGTGATCTAGTAGAGGTTTTATGTTTCTAGTAGAAAGTTGTAGAGTTGAGAATATTTTATTTTTGTGGCCATTGGTTTGTGCAAATTTACATTATCTAATATGATTAAATCTAGTGTGCTAGCAAATGCTGTATTATGCTTGCTTTGAGCAGTGTGCAGGACTGATCTATGCGGACAACTAAACATGGATACACTGCACAAGTCTGAATATATATAGGATAATATAAGTTTAGTCTGAATACATATTAATATAGACAGCCAAACATGCTCACAACAAAAGTACAAAACAGCTATCAGTGTTTCATCATCATACATTATTATCCCAAGGTGGCATTAAGTACTACATCTTATTTTTAGATATTTCGATTGTTGCATCAGCAACCACAAGATCCACTAAGTAGCGGCATAGGCCTGTCTATATATACCACACGGCATACGAATATAGGAAGACGTAGGTATAGGTACGTGCATCTGGTACAACTGTATCAGAGCGTTACGCGCCGTAGCGAAGGAGGTGGCGGTTCTTGATCGGGGAGCACGTAGCGTAGCCGCCGCCGCCGCCGCCGGTGTACTGGACGGTGCTCTGGTACGACTCATAGCGGCGCCCGCCGTCCTCGCGGGTCTCGTACGACTCGTAGCGGCGCACGCCCCCGAGGTTGCCAGCCTCGTGCTTCTCCTGCTTGTACGCCCCGTAGCTGTGCTGCACGCCGCCGCGCGGCGGGAACGCCTCCTCGCAGTCACTCTCGTCGCTCTCGCTCTCAGTCTCGCTATCTTTCACGTCCTGCATGTAGCCGTGCTTCTGAACGGCAGCGGCGCCACCACCGTAGTGAGCGCCGTATCCTCCAGCGCCAGTTCCGCCGTACGAATCCTGGTACTGGTAGCCGGTCTTCTTCACTTTGCCACCGGCGGTGGCTCCGCCGTACCCGTACGCATCTTTCTGGTAGCCGTACTGCTGCACGGCGCCACCACCGCCGTAGTGAGCGCCGTATCCTCCTACGTCAGTTCCGCCGTACGCCTCCTGGTACTGGTAGCCGTTCTTCTTCACTTTGCCACCGGCGGCGGCTGCGGCGCCGCCGTACCCTTACGCATCTTTCTGGTAGCCGTGCTGCTGCACGGCGCCACCGCCGTAGTGAGCGCCGTACCCTGCCGCGTTGACGGCGGCTTCCCCGTACCCGTACACCTTCTGCTGGGAGCCGTTCATCTTACTAGCAGCGTCCTTGTGCTTGTAGGCCTGCTGCTGCACGGCGGCACCGATGGCGCCCCCGTACGCCGCCTGCTGGTCGTAGGCGTACGTCTGCACGGCGGCACCGGCACCACCGTGGTGCGCGCCGTAGCCGGCGTCGCTCTCCCCGCACGCCTCCTGCGTGTAGCTGTAGCCTTGCTTCTTCCCGCCGGCGCCGGCGCCGTAGTGGCGCCGCCGTACCCTGCAGCAGCCTCGGTCTCCCCGTACGCCTCCTGCTTGTAGCTGTAGCCTTGCTTCTTCCCGCCGGCGCCACCGCCGTAGTGGGCGCCGCCGTACCCTGCAGCAGCCTCGGTCTCCCCGTACGCCTCCTGCTTGTAGCCATAGCCCTGCTTCTTCACGGCGGCGGCGCCACCGCCGTAGTGGGCACCGTACTCCGCGTCGATTACTTCGCCGTACTTCTCCTCCTTGTACTCGTCGTGCTTTTTCACGGCAGCAGCTCCGTACTTCTCCTCCTCCTCCTCCTTGAAGGAGTGCTTCTGCACGGCCACGCCGCCGTTGTACGCTTCGTCGTGCTCCTCGAACGCCTCCACCTTGCAGGCCTGTTTCTGCACGCCGCCTGCGTCGCCGGCGCCGTAGCAGGGCTTGTCGTTGACGGTCATATGCGGTTCATCATGGGATAGTTGTCGAAGCAGCGCTCGCGGGCCGGGGCCTTCTTGCCCCCGTCGACCTCCTTGAACGACTCCTTGTGGACAACGTGGTGCTGCAGCACGGCGCCGCCGGCATGGTTGGGCCTCTCGGCGACCTTGGTGACGTGCTCGCCGGAGTGGGTGCGGTGGTAGTTCGTGGTGGAGTGCGGTTGGCCGTAGCCGCCATAACCATTGCTGGGGCACCTGAACATGGCTGCTCGCTACTTGGTTGCTTTCCCTCTGTGTGCCTTGGCACTTTGATCGCTATGGCTCGGCGCTGCATGGATGTACTTGAACTGGCCTTTTATAGGCGTGCTATAGCGGCTAGCGCTGATCGATTGGGCTGCATACGATTGTCTGTATGCCGCATTTTGTTATGGACTGGTGGTAGTGGTAGGGTATAACAGGCATTATTAGGGCGACCTCCATGCATGGCTTTATTCTTCATTTCCATTACTCAAGTGTTGAGCTAGGCATTAAGCTAGCTCGTTGCGGGGGAATAAACTCGAATTCAATAAATTAACTCCAAACGACAGAAACAAAGATCCTGTTCGAACCATAAATGATAAAGCAGCAAGATCCTATTCGCGCTCCACATTTGACGGTCCATAATCCCCTTGTTTAGCCAGGAGAAATACGGATAGGTTTCAATCATATATAGCTTGCGTGGTTTGAGTGTCGATCACTCAGTGTTGTTAGCTTAACTCGGTGTTCTGTATCACGGCAAATATTTTACCGTCCTTATAGCGCCCAAACAAAAACACACACTCTTATGAAGACACACAAGCAAACTCTATCTCTATGAGCATATTTCAAAGATTGGCCGAGAGATTTTGAAATTATTGATGAATTATCGTAGGAGTCTTGAAACATCTCCTTCCACTGAAAGAATAGAGCAGTTAAATCCTAAAATAAATCAAAAAAGTGTGACCACCCGTGCTAAGCTGAGACTTGAACTCAGATGCATAGCAGTTATATGATACCAATATTTTAGGGTGAGCTAATTAAGACATGCACAAGCGAGCCACAACTGCAACGGACGGGTCAAGGATCGCATAGAAGAGTCTCTATATATTTGAAGAATTAAAACTTAGACGATGCATCAGTCACTTTACAGAGCAACAATTATATACGGTCAAATGGGCTGGGTCATAGAGACGGCATGGGGCATGGCCCATTTAAGCACGGCCCGACACCATACGCTATTGGGCTTATATCGGTCCAGCCCAAACCATAACACGAGAACAGACTTTCGGTTTTTCGGCGGAATTTGGCCCGGGAATAATAGCGAGATTTAGTCCCGGTTGGAACCACCAATCGGGACTAGAATCCTCTGCCCAACGGATAGTGTAGCAGGCTTTTGTAGCAAGGACCTTTAGTCTCGGTATGTGGTTCAACCCGGGATTAAAAGTTGCCTTTCAATCCTGGTTGGAACCACCAACCAGGACCAAAGGTACCGCTGGCCTTTTATCCCGGGTTTTGGCTCCAACCAGGACTATAGGTTGATCCTTTAGTCCCTTACCCGTCCACTAACCGGGATTAAAGGTCCACACCTATATATATCCGCTTCCACTGTCCCCCCTCAGCCCGAGACACACCGGTCAAATCTTGGTCTTTGCTTATTGTTCATCCATGTTCTTGTTTGGGGGAGCAAGTTCTTGCTCTCGGCCGCAGGCTTCATCTTCAATCTTCTAAAGGCTAGCAACTTCATATTCTAATCTTTCATTGTTAATAATGTAGATCGTTTCATGCTTTAGTAGTATGCATAAAATATTCAAATATGTGTTTTTTATTAGGAATAATAATGGTGGATTTTATTTTTATTTATACATTATTTCTACGTAACCTTAAACATTTATTGTTTTCTTGATCTTTGTTAGCAACATTATTTCTTGATGAGAGTTAATAATCGTTAAAAAAATTATGTGCAAAATGTTTAAGTTTATTTGGCATGCGCGCGCGCACACACACATATATATATAGTATATTCAATAGCCAGCTACAAAATAAGTTATTCTGTAGCCACCTCTATTTACGATAATTTTATATATTAATTTACAATAATGTCCATACATATTTACGATAATTGGGTTACTACCATAACGTTATAGTAAACCACTTAGTAAGGAGTTACTATAATTTCATAAATTAACATAGTAATTATCGTAACTCAAAGTGACTATATAATAAGTTATTTTATAGCCAGCTACATGATAGTTTCCAATAGTTAGCGAAGTCCCCGACCAAACTAGTGTTTCTTGATTCCACCAAACCAGGGCCTTGTTTAGATTCCAAGTTTTTTCACTCTCTCTTCATCACATCAAATCTTTAGACACATGCATGGAGTATTAAATGTAGATAAAAAAATAACTAATTACACAGTTTGATTGTAAATTACGAGACGAATCTTTTGAGCCTAGTTAGGCCATGATTGGACAATAATTATCAAATACAAACGAAAGTGCTATAGTGTCAAATACTGATTTCTAACCGCGAACTGAGCAAGGCCCAGGTTCCAGCCCAAATCCAACCAGACCAGCCCGCAGGCCCACCCACCTAACCATCGGGCCTTATATATTGCCCCAAACCCTAACCCCCACGCAGGCACCCTAGGCCGGCTCCCGCCACCCCATGCTGCGGGCAGTACCTCCACTGGAGCGCGGCTCGCCGCCCCTGCAGCGTCGTGGCCATCCCCCTGGAGCGTGCGCCACCGGGCCCTGGAGCACCGACGTGCGAGGACTACGTCGGCGACGGCGACGGCGCCCTGGAGCTCGCGGCAGGCTCCCAGGCGGTCGGGAGAGCGGCAGCGCCGGCGTGCTCGTGGCGTTCTCCCGTCGTCAGCTCCCGTCATCGGAGGCTCCCAGGCGGTCGGGAGAGCGGCAGTGCCGGCGAGCTCGTGGAGGTGACGACGTTCTACCGTCGTCGGAGATCGGGAAGGCCACCTCGCTCTCGATGTTAAGGCGCGCCGGCGACACCGCCGGCGACACCTCCTCATCCACGACGTGCTGCTGCGGCCTCGAGCGGCGAACTGAGAAGGCAGCGTAGATCCGGTCGGCATCAGGCAAGGCAAGAGGCCGAGTTCCCTCAGATCCCGTCGTCAGCAGGAGGCTGAGCACCCTCAGATCCCTTCGGCAGGAGGAGCAACCTCGCCCGGCGACCCGCTCCACCTTCTCCCAGCACTACGAGAAAGCCGACCACCACCACGTCCTTGCGAACTTCGAGCGGGATGAGGAGCGAGCCTTCTCGTGGGGCGGTGGAGGCAGCTGCTCTACCCTGCAGCACGATGAGCAGCAGTTGGATTTTTTTTGTGCTTCTCGTGATAGTACTAGTACTGAATGGCTGCATGTGGATTTTTTTTTGTGCTTCTACACTCTTGTTTTTTTTGCCTGTATGCACGCATGATGAAATGTCTAACTATCTTGCTAGCTTCTTTGTTTCTTCTGGTCACGGAGTGTGCTTTTTGGATGTGCTTCACTACTTCTCTGTGCATTTGTATTCCTGGATGCTGGAGCGAGCTCTCACTTCGGCCATGTTTCAGGAGTGGAGCAGCGGCTACTAGTCCAGTAATTTGTTGTTTTGGTGAGCTCCTTGTTCGAGGATGTATAGATACAGACTATATGCTTAGGATTTTGAATCATGTCGTCAACCACTATATGCTTCCTTTTTATGCACTCAGGGTTGCTGGTTTTGAATACAAATTGTGAATGTTTGCTGTTTGCAGGGATACCGGCCACTAGTTCTAGAATTTTTTTTGCTTTCCTTTGGTTACTATGCTTGTATGCACGCATGCTCAACTGTGTTTTGAGACCTGATTAGAACAAAAAATTGTGTTCATGCATGAATTTCTATATAAAAGTTGCTTGTTATACTTGAGTGAAATGTTTTGATTTGTACTTACTATGTTTTGACACATCCGCTAGGCATGTTCTATGCATACATACAAAATCTCCAACACTAGACTGTACGTGTTGCGCTCCCCAAGTGCAGGCTCAAAATTTCTATGCACACATACAGAATATCTATTTCGCAGCATGTATACAAAAGTTTCTATGCATACATAAGCTGCCTGAAGTGTAGGCTCTCTGCAGCACGGTGAGCAGCAGGATGGCCCTGATCTAGCAGAGGCTCGTCGTCTCCATCTTTTACGCTTGCAGTCTCCACCTTCTATGCATTGTTCTCATGTTAATTATACATTCTATAGTTTCTATGTTAGGTGGAGGCAATCACAGTTATGTTAGGTGGAATGTCCATCTAGCGGCAAGGTTTCTATACGCGTAGTTTCTATGCGCGCAGTTTTAGGTAGCTGCACTTTGAGTTTTTATGCATCCAATGCATAAAAGTCAGGAACAATTTTTTATGCATATTAATCAACAAGCAAACTGATGTATTTTTACGACAATTGTTTTTCCATGATGTTTTTATCTGATTTTTGGTTGCAGCCTTGGATGAATAGGTGGTTTGCATAAAATCAAGAGCTACCAACGCAGGCAAGCATGATTTCTGAGCAATTGATTTTTCATTTCTATGCATCTTGAGCCAACCGTGTAAGCAAGAACTCATTTAGAAGACTTCTATACATTGTTGGAGCACATTTTATACATTGTTGAAGCACATTTATATTTAATGTTGTTGGACACACACTTACACATATATATATATATATATATATATATATATATACATACACACACACACACACACACACACACACACACACACACACACACACACATATAGCCACACATATATATATATATATATATATATATATATATATATATTTTCTTATGACCATGTGTCTATGTGATTTGAATACAAATTGTGGCATCCGGCCTAAGTGTTGTTTGAATGGCTGCAGATTACTAGTATGAAAAAAATGGGGTGTCCAAGCATGGAACTTATAACTCACCAGCATCATATCGTGTGGATTGTGGCGGGTTGTGGTGCTTTGGACTCCCTATGGCATAATGTTGCACCGGTGTTGTGCAACTGATTATTGAGTGTAAAAGCATGGAACTTGATTTATTGATTGGATTTTTATTTATCTGGCTGTAAAATAATGACGTATTTTTACTTCTTGTGGTTGCATAAATCAAATAATTATTGTATGCTATGGCTATAGAAATTAAATATTTGATACTGCCGACATTGGCTGAAACTAGCTGTCCTGTCCCATGCTTTGAATTTTGATTTATATACTTACGGTACCTGAATGGCCCGTGATTTTTTTTAAGTCAATGTAGTCGATATTAATTTCACCAATAAGTCTGTATGCTTGACAAGTTAGATTTATATGATATGTTGTGATTTTTGCATTAATGTAGCTGACATTAGTCTCATGAATAGATTTTTGCGCACGCTAAAATATGTTTATACGCCTTTCACACATATGAGCAGCGAGGCAGCCTGGTCCGGAGACGGTGACTGGCTCATGGAGTTGGACGCGCTCGGCTCGGCCCTGCTCCGGCGACATAGAGGCGCTCAACATCCTCACCAATGCGCTTGTCGTCAACCACATGATGGTGGGATGCTTATGCATAGGGTGGTTTCTATGATTTTTTTTGCACAGGCGACTTGGATCTGGATTTTGAATCATGTCTATTGTTCGAGGATGTATAGATACAGACTATATGCTTAGGATTTTGAATCATGTCGTCAATCACTATATGTGTATTCTATTCTATACATTATTACAATAAATTTGTATATATTGTTGGAGCAGTTATCTGTGCACTTATACACATTTATATACATGGTTGGAGCACTCTTCTATGTATTGTTAGAACATTTCGACATACATTGTTGAAACAATTATCTGTGGGCTTCTATACAATTCTATACATGGTTGGTACACAATTCTATATATTGTTGGTACACTAATTTCTATACGACAAGAAAATTAATTTTTATTCATCTAACTACTAGTTTCTATGCAATCTCAGCGCCAAAAACATTTTTGTGCATCTTGACAATTAATTCTATAAATCTGATCGTCCATCACTTGCTATTTTTTAAATTTCAAATTTTAGAGAAGACGAGATCATCTCCATGTTTTACGCTTGCGGTCTCCATCTTCTATCCATTGTTCCCATGTTAATTATACACCCCCGTAGTGGGAAGCATGATGTTGGTGGGAGGCAATCACAGTTGTGTCAGGTGAATGCCCATCTCCTGGAGAGATTGTTATGCGGTAAAAAAATAATTTTTATTCACCCAACCACTAATTTCTATACAACGTCGGCGCCAAGAACTTTTCTGCACATCTTGACTATTAATTCTATGCATCCAATTGTCCATCATGTGCCATGATTCAAATTTCAAATTTTAGTGAAGACGAGATCGTCTCCATGTTTTACACTTTGCGGTCTCTATGTTCTATGCATTGTTTCCATGTTAATTATACACCCCTATAATGGAAAACATGATGTTGGTGGAGACGATCACAGTTGTGTTTGGTGGAATGTCCATCTCGTGAAGATGTTTTTACGCGGTAACAAAATTAAATTTTATTCATCCAACCACTAGTGGAAAGGGTTTCGTGGGTTTCTAAGCATGGTTCCTCTATTAAATAATCATCCTCTAGTGGAATGTCCATCTTGTGGAGAGATTTTTATGTGGTAATAAAATTAATTTTTATTTATCAAACTACTAATTTATAAGCAATGTCGGTGCCAAAAATGTTTCTGCGTATCTTGACCATTGATTCTATGAATCCAATTGTCCATCACGTGCAATTTTTCAAATTTTAAATTTCAGAGAAGACGAGATCGTCTCCATGTTTTTAAGCTTGTGGTCTCCATGTTCTATGCATTGTTGCCATGTTAATTATACACCCCCATATTGGGAAACATGATACTGGTGGAGGGAATCACGGTTATGTCAGGTGGAATGTCCATCTCATGAAGAGGTTTTTACACGGTAACAAAATTAATTTTTATTCATTCGACCACTAATTTCTATACAACGTCGATGCCAAAAACTTTTCTACGCATCTTGACCGGTGATTCTATACATCCAATCGGCCATCACATGCCATGATTCAGATTTCAAATCTTGGAAAAAGATGAGAACGTCTACATGTTTCTATGCTCTCGCTCACAAGTTTCTATGCGTAGACGAAAGCATGATGTTGGTGGAGGCAATCACGGTTGTGCCAGGTGAAATGTTCATATCGTGGAGAGGTTTTTACGCGGTAACAAAATTATTTTTATTCATCAAACCACTAATTTCTATGCAACATCAGCATCAAAAACTTTTCTACACGTCTTGACTATTGATTCTATTCATCCAATCGGCCATCACGTGCCATGACTCAAATTTCAAATTTATGAATTTTATTTTTTTTCAAAAAAAAATATTTCACAATGGATCTTGAATCACGCACAAAAATTCAGGAGTTCAATGGTGAAAACCGTTTTTGAATCTGATGATTCGTTGAGGAATTATAATAAAAAACAAAAGAGATTATATTGGATACGTGCATGTATGGATACGTCAGCTCTATCAGGTTGTGTTAGGTAGAACGTCTAGCTCACGAGGAGGTTTTTATGTGGTAACGAATTAATTTTTATTTATCCAACTACTAATTTTTATGCAACGTCATGACAAAAATGTTTCTACGCAGCTTGAACTGATATTTTATGCATCCGATCTGCTGGGTCTGTAGTGGTCCCCTGCCTGCGCGCGCGTTAGCTCCACGGACTGAATGGTTGAGCTAGCTAAGGGGGCTGGCTGGGCTCTCCATTAGCTATTTGGAGCCCTGGGCTACCAAAAGCGTGGCCCATATATATATCTTGATGATTTATTTTTATGGCTCTGTTCGTTAGTCTGAAATTTGGCTGAAACTTGTTGAAAACACTGTTTCGGCTAAATTATTGTGAGAGAAAAATATTGTTCCAGCTAAAAAAAGAACCCGAACAAACCAAATATGGGGTAAGCCGAACAGGGCCTATATGTTTCTCTAATATATATTGTTGCATGGTATATTTATATGGGGGTTCTATATTTATTAGGATGTTTTCTCAGTTTTTAGTTACGATGAATAG